GGTAATAATAAGAAAGCACGGTTATTGAATATAGTTATAATGAGAACACAATAAACTTTAACGTAGAAAAGGTTAAGTAATCAAATCCTCTTTCAAATCGTCTAATTTTTTACATAACTCTTAGATATAAATAATAAACCTATAAAAATAGCATACATTTTATGTATATCTAACTAAATTAGTTACAGTTCTATATTCACAATAGCACAATGAAAATCAGAGTCGGATTAAGTTGAGAAACCGCGATTGATTAAAAAAAAAAATAATTAAGACAAGAGAAAAAGAAAACATATTAAACATGCATAATCCGAAAATACAGGTTAGAATAAAAAAATCTGTTATTTCTGGTCCCAACAAACATTTTGTTTTGGCAAATTAACGGCCTTTAAACGTATGTAAGTTACTTCAAGTAGTCGGGGTTTACAATTGATGAGTCGACTTTTTGTCACAACAGACGCCAGAAGGTCGTCGTCACTTTAACAGCAATAAGCAGTGAAAGGCCTGCACATGGCCCGCAGTTTCAGGTAATATTAAATATCCTTCAATGGACTTGCATAAGGCTCGTAACTTTACCAGGCATAATTAGTAAAAGGCCTGTACATTTCTCATAATATTAATGTTAACTTCCCATCAAAGGGCTTGCACAAGGCTCTTATAAAAATGATACCGAGCTTCTACAAAAATTTTATTAATAAAATATTCTAAATTAACCACATGTAAAAGTAAGAAATTTCAATGAATACTGAAGAGTGAATTAGGGATGCGCACGATGTATCAATGTTTAAAAAACATCGGTTTTTCGATTTCCATTTTCGATGTTTACATCGACGTTGTTTTATCCAATGTTATTAATTAACATCGATGTTTTTATTTAACATCAATGATTTCTTTTTTGATATTTGTTAAGCTTTACGTTTTAATTGATGGTTTAAATACCTTTTTTTGCTCTTCAATTAATTATTTTTGAAAAACATCGATGTTTAGAGAAATCGATATTTTCATTCTTATTTTTTTACATTATCGATAGTCTGTATTCGATGTATTATTTGATGTAAACATCGATGTTTTAAAAGTTTTGCGCAACTCTATAGTGAATACCAGCAATGCGAGACTGGTCGCATAATACATGTCCACTCGTTGAGTATGTAGCAAGGAATCATCAATGTCTCCATTTATGAGCGCGGGACGGAGCCTCTAATATTATAAATAAAAAACTACTAAAAAACTAAAGGCAAAACTTTTTTTGTGCTGGAAAGTAATCTTGCTTCATTTTTCTATTTGAGTTTGACGACTTGTTTTGTCAGCTTTAGCACATCCTTGACAAGGCCATTGGCAAAACTGCTTTACTAATTGCCCGCGTGCAATAATGTCTTTTAATGGCGGCTCTTTTTTCGTTAACTCATTTACATATAAATGAGCAATCTATATGACTATATATCATTACATTTTCCCCTTCTAATACACAACCGCCATTCTGTGGTCACTTTCTGAAACCTTATTTATTGCTTTTTGGTGGACACTTTTTGATATAAACAACAATATAAGATTGTCCTCCTTTCCCTATGCACTACTAGGTAGAAATTGATATGAAATATATTTGTATAGTTGAATGCAATGGCATATTTTTTCGTTTTGTAGTCTGTGCGTAGAACAGCTAATATCCATGTGGGTGTAGAAAAAAATTGATATTTTCCAAAATACCTATTATTTAGTGCTTAATCAATAAAAACGTCTTGATGACCGAATTAACCAAAGAACTTTTATTGCTGAGGCCCTTCCTATGGGGCCTCAGTATTGCATTTGTGCAGAAGAAAAAATGTTCTAACCCCCATTTTTTAAAACTTTTTTTCATGATGCCGAAAATGCAAAAAAAAAATTCGTCTGGTCGTCTGTGTGTATGTATGCGGCACAATAACTCTAGAATGAAAGTTCTGATTGACTTGCGGTTTTGATTTTCTTGAATAATTACTTCTAACTTAGAACTCTATTGATTTTCAGAATTTTCGGTTCATCCTAACTACTTTATTATTAGAGCTGTGGCAAACCGTATGTATTCGTTACTCAGTAACGGGTAGTCGGTCAGATACGAAATACGAATTCGTTACTGCATTTTAAATTTCGTTACTTCGTTACTCGAATCCGCATCGTCGCATATCGCACAAACATACCGGTTTGGTGTGCAAGATGCGAAATGCGAGTGTGAGTCTGATGCGAATCGAGCCAGTGACTATCAAGTCGCACGCCGACTGGGACTTATTTTGGTTTTATAGAATAGTATAATAGTTGTTTTTCTGTTAGCGTGTTGCAAGAATATAATATGTTTTTGTTTATTTAAGTTATGATTTTATGGAGTATTATTATTGTTTCTACTAGTGTGTTAGAAAAATATATATGTTTCTGTCTGACGATATTTCATTTTGCAAAACTTTACGTCATTGCTCATGCTCAGTGAACTACACGACTTTGTTACTAATTACAAATTCGCTAGGTATTTAATTAACCAACGATTCGATATCTAATCTCATCCGCACCCCCTGTTAGACAGTACCAACCTAACCAATGCGTACGTACGATTAGTTAGACACCAATTCCGCATCCGCATTAGACGTGTGCGAGGCCCATGCGCCGCATGTTCTGTAGATTCGCATCACAGTAACGAAAGTAACGAGTAACGAATATTTTTATACGGGTAGTCAGATCTGAAGTAACGAATACATACGGGTATTGGTTTTCTCGTTACTTTTACAGCTCTATTTATTATCAATTTTTTTTAAATCCACCTATGCATTTCTTATGTGACCATTTTAGGAATTCCAATTATTTCCAACGTCAACATTTCTAACATTATTAACATTCCATAAATTGCAAACATTCTCTAACGACCTGTCAATCACCAGCTGTTGATAGTAAAGGTGAAATTTCTAAGGCGGGTTGCGACCTTCATACTTGCAACCATAGCCATTTTGAAGGCTATTTTTATTCGAAATTAGTCGCCAAGCCTGACAATTTATGAAAAATAGTTAAGCAGTTTTTTAAAAATGACTTTTTTATGGTAGTGCTAACTTAAGCGTACTACTATTTCGCCCCTAGCAACAAAAACACCTTCATCAAATTTACTGGCTTTCTGTCGCAACCCCATAGAATAATTAACTGGCCATTTTATTTGGCAAAAATCAGAATATTGCTTGGCTGTGCCTGTCAAGTATCAAGATAGCAACTGTGATGTGTGAATGGCCCTTAAATGTCAAATTATTTAAAAATGTATACTTTTGATATTTATTGCAAATAATTTGTAGTATATCTCAATTCAGGCTTTCCATAAATAAAGGTACAGCAAGACAGATATTATAATGTTCTTTTACAAAGCACTTTTTTGTTATATAAAAGAGAGGTAGAATATAATGCTGGGTTTTTGTGGATAATTTTAATTATACGATTTTGGATTACATTAAGAGGTTGAAGTGCGATATCATATCACTATATCATATCATAATTGTAAATAATAATTAGTAAACTCTTAGTCATAAATTTTCTCATTTCATAAAATCTAAAATTTAGTCTTCTTACCTTGGGATTTTAATGACCTAATATGATCAACCCATTTCAAATTTTGATCAATTATGATACCGAGGTATTTTGCTCTGTTTTTCATTTTAATTATAAAGTTGTCATTTATTTGTATGTTGAAAGAAGGCCTTTGTAAATTACATTGCTCTCTATGGATCTACTTTAACACAAAAATAGTTTTGTGGCTCTAAGTAGCTGTCGCAAAACTAATAATAATTTAAACAAAGTAGTATTAATATAACATCAAGTAATTTTTTAAAATAAAGTACATGATCTCAAAACAGAAATAATTTATAATAAATACGGGTAAAACAAGGGGTAAAATAACAATAAATTAAAAGAAATATTTAAAGACTATTATCACACGAAAGTATATCCGTTCTGTTTATTTGTCAAGTATTCTTTGAGGTTATTGTTTTTTAATTTCTGTAGGCAGTCTATTAAATTTTTTAAACCTTTAATGAAAATCTGATGTGTCCAACACATGACTTTCGTATCTTGGTATTAAGGGCTTTTTCCGGTTATTTTGTACAACCTATTGCAGCACCTCTAAAAGTGTTTAAAGGATAAACTAAATATATAAATTTTCCACATACATCTAACTCGAAACATTTTTCTATAGATATTCATTGAAAACAAAAATACTGAAACATTTAAATTTAGCACTGTTCCTCCAATTTTTTCCAAAAGAAAAAGAAGAAGAAGAAGAAGAAAAATCATGTAAAAACAAAAATTATAGAGATCGATATCGCAAACAACTTTTAGTTCAACAATTTTCTTAACAATCAGAATTTTGCACATTTTGTTAAATTTCTCGAATATCAGGAAAATTTGACATAAGGCAAAAATTATAGATAATATTAGAAGTAACTTTTATTTATACAATTTTCTTCTCCAAACATAAATAACAGACATTCCATAAAATATAAAAATGGCCTCCCATAAAGTACCCCCATATGTTCCGACTTTTTCCAAAATATAATCATTTTACGTCAGGCCGAAATAAAACTTAAGTTTAAAATTTAATGTTTTTTCCTTTATCCGTTTTTGAGTTTTCTTCAAAATTCGAAATGGTTGCATTTTTGTATTGTTGTTTCCATGAAAATTGCAGTAAGTTTGTGTTTAAGTAAAATAAATAAGATATTTTGTCAGTGTTCTATTTTTCTAAATCGAAAACCAAAATTAAAGCAAATTTGTCGCAAATTTTTTAAAGATTATATACTTAATTCTTTTACTTTGGTGTAACAATGTTCAATATCAGGGCTTTATAAACAATTAATTTTATTACACCACTGAATAGATCATTAAAACCCAAACGATTACAAAAAAATCATCAAGGGTACCGTAATTGGCGCACTTCCTTCTGCCAGTGTGTCGAAGAGGAGGTGGTACCTTTCAATCGCGACGGTGGTAATGGGCGTTGGGTGCATTTACGCCAAGAACTAAGACAAATTTATTCAAATTGCAATTGATATCAGCTTAGGTACTTTCTCTTTCGTTTTAAGTTATAAAGTTAGGGTGACAAGCGACAGGGCAGCATAGTCGGTTTTTGTTTTGTGGGCAGTTGACGTGTGTCGAATTTTTTGGATTTACCCCTGAATAAAAACTTGGTAAGTGGTTTTATTATTTTGGTTCATAAATTTTTCTAATTTTATTTTTTAAACCTAGTTACGTATTTAAAAAACAAATATTGTTTGGAAATTTTAAAATTTTAAAACTATTAAAATATATTTAAAAACGCATTTCTTAACCAACAAAAATTAGCTGATTATTGAAAATATATTTACAAGAATAAAGAATACTTTTTTTAATATTTCAAATATTTCAACCTCCCTTAACACTCCATTTTTATTCATTTTTTTTTTCAGAATCAATAGGCTTCATCTCCTTTCTAGAGTTTGATTTTAACTAAACATTTCATGTTCATATTGCTTTTCGTTTTTAATTTACGATTTTTTTAATTTCAACCTTCATTAAACCCCCATTTTTATTCAGATTTTTTTATACCAAAGGGGTTCTTCCTTTATAGAGCTTGATTTCTGCTAAAAAAATTTAGTTGATATTATTTTTTGTTTTTAATTTCTTATTCTATATTTCAAACTCTCTTGACCGATATTTTTTTAGATTTTTTTTTTAATCAATATGGTTTGTCCCCTTATAGAGCTTGATTTTGGCTAAAAATTTTGAGTTGATATTATTGTTTGTATTTGAGTTAGGATTTTTTTTAAATATTTCAACATCCCTTAACATCCCAGTTTTATTATTTTTTTTTTCAGAACCAATAGGCTTTATCCTTATAGAGCTTAACTTTGACTAAAAATTTTATGTTGATATTGCTTTTTTAATTTCAACCATCCTTAAACCCCCCATTTTTATTCAGATTTTTTTTATATTAAAGGGCTTCTTCACCTTATAGAGATTGATTTCTGATATAAATTTCATGTTGATATCGCTTTCCGTTTTTGATTTATGATTTTTTAAATATTTCAACCCTCCTTAACCCCCCTATTTTTATTCAATTTTTTTGTTCCCTTTTAGACCTTGACTTTTCCTGAAATTTTCAAGTTGATATCATTTTTCCATCATTTTTCGTTTTTGACTTATCGTGCGGATAAAAAAGTGACATCGGACCATAGAATATTTTTAAGCAGACGGACGGACAAAGTAAATCTGTAAACACACATGCCGCGTTTGAATATCCACATCCGATGCATTTTTTACATTTCGATTGTTTTTTATCCACATTGGACACATCTACTACATCTACATCTGCCTTTGCTTATCCTAGATGTAGCTGTCCAGATTACATTTTTTACATCTCGATTTAAAATGAGATGTGAATGAGATGTTCGCTCCATGCCAGAAAGTAGGTGTTCTGTGATTTATCCTTTATTTATGTTAGTGTGAATATAAAAGTGTTTAGTGCATTTAATTTTTGTTTAGAATATAAATTTAGGTTGATTTCCAGTCTCAAAAGTCAAATTTAAAGAATATAAACTTCTAACTTGTCACTGTTATTTTATCATGTTTATTACATCTACATTCAGATCTAATCTTCTATCACGTGATAAAAAATTCACATCTCAGATGCACTCGATGTGGATATTTAAACGCAGCAACAGACTACTGTGTGAAGTATATAATAATAAGGTATACCGTCTAAATCCAATCAAATTTAGTTACAAAAAAAGTGATCTGGAGCAAAGAATCAATCCGAGTTGGCTCTGTCTGTAAATAAAATTAAACCTGTTTCACAAAGAAGGTAGTATTGTAGTTCAATGTAATGATAATAATTCCTTAAAAAATTGCAAAACAAAGCGGTAAATGAGCTTGAAGAATATTATGAAATTAAAATCCTAAAAGAAATAAATCCAAAAGCGCTAATAGTAGCAATAACTGATAATGCACAATTCAGTGATATAAGGGATTTTGAAATTGTACAACTTTCAGTATCAAAATTGTACACTTTTATGTTCGATTGTACAACCACTAAATAATCTTCTTCTTTTTCACAGCCAGCATATCTCCTACTACTTCCTGATGCACAAAATTCTTTTTTTTTTAGATTCAATTTTTTTTTTTATGTAAAGCGGTATACTGATTGGTCGCGAATATAAAAATTTTAATGCATACGATATATTGAATCATAGACTTTTTGCAAAAGAAAGCCATATACAAGATTTTACATATTTAGTAATTTCAAATTGTATATTTCTGCTTTTTTCCAAAAGGGCATACATAACTGATTGTATAACTTTTTGTACAATTGTTTAAACAGAAACAACACTGGATATAAGAAAGGATGAAGTAAAATGTGCGGAAATAAGATAAAAATGCATATGTAGTTTTATAAATATACAATATGTTCCATTAGTGCGTAATTGTTCAATTATCATATTTGTGTTATGGACACACAAACAGTTTCAAATAAAAGTTATATGGATTTGAAAAATATATATTTTTGGATTCATAGGGAGTGGCCTTTTTTCTTGGCAAATAAAAATGTATGTTTTTTAAATAGAACATTCTCCATTTTATTTTATTTTTAGATTGGTTTATTAATATTGTATTCAACTCTAGAATATTTTTAAAAAATATTACAGTGTTGCCAGGCAATTATTTTTTTTGAAATATTGGTAGTAGAACTGGTTTATTTTATGCAATATTTTGAAACATGTCTTTAATATGGTTAATTTTAATTTCAATTTGATCAATTTTTGCAAATGCAATACCCTGTATAATATTTAGGCATACAATTCCTTATAAATTTACCTATTCAACGATACCAATATGTTAGCCAGGGTGTCCCATCATCGCGTAATTAATAGCTATTTGTTTATTAGAAATACGAAGACATTTTTAATATAAAAGTTGTATGACCATATTTAACATATATTCTTAAATGAGGTGCTGTCCAAATCTATACTTTTTTAAAGCAAAACATCTTACAAGTAGTTGTACCTATTTGATTGTTATCACATCGTTAAACAATTTCAATTGACTTCACTCATTTGCTATGTTGTATATAGGGTGTGTCAAAACGTGAGGTTAGGATTTTCTTAATTTTTTAAATGGAATACTCCGTATCAATTAATTGGTGGTATAACATATAGGGTATTCCATTTAAAAAATTTAGAAAACCGTTACCCCGCATTTTGACCCTCTCTATATACAAGATAGAAAAATAAATAAAGGCCATTAAAATGATTTGACGATGTGAAAACAATCAAATATGTATATTGTATAACTACCTGGAGGGTGTTTTTTTTAAGGATTAGCTTGTTTAATCCCTCGTTTATGGAACACCCTGTATTTTAAAGAATATTTATTAAACATGGTCATACAACTTTTATTATATTTTTTTTTTCGTATTTCTCAAAATAAAACAGCTATCGATCAATTGCGCATTCATGGTACACCCTATATATGTGTTATTGGCTAATATTTTGGTATCGTTGGATAGGTACATTTATAAAGAATTTTATGCTAAAATAATATACAGTGTGTTGCATTTGGAAAAATTTAGTAAATTGAACTTAAAATTTGCCATATATAAGACATGTTTCAAAACATAAATAAACCAGTTCTATCACAACTATTCGTTAGCTTAGTATCTTATAAGTCTGTATATTAAACAATTTTAAAATCAATGTGAACCTACCTAAATTATGATAATTTAATTTGTGGTCTGCATCATTCTCTAATTAAAAAAAAATTGCTTGCTTGTAATATTTTTTAAAAACATTCTAGGGTTGAATACAGATTACCAAATCATTCTAAAAATAAAATAAAATAAAATACAGGGTGTTCTATTTAAAAAACATACATTTTTATATGCCATGCAAAAACGCAAAACCCTGTATATCCAAAAATATTTTTAAAATATGTATTTTTCGAATCTATATACTTTTGTACATTGAAATATTGAACAATTACGAACTAATGGGACAACCTGTATATGGGCTGGGATAGATGTTCTGTTTATTAATTTGTGGAAGTTTTAAGATGTTTCAATGTGACAATGCGGTCATAAAGCTAAAAATTCTAATCATAAACATAAAATTTATCCAATATGTAGCGAAATACAGTAAAAACCTATCCAGTCCAAAAACTTGAGTGTACTAATTGTAAACAACATTCTTAAGATGCCTAATGATGTACCTTCACACTATTTTTGACAAATGAAATAAATGTAGTACAAATGCAACTCCTCGTGAAATAATAAGTATTTATACATAAGAGAAGATCAACATGGATGTCGACGCCAGATCCAGATCTAAATAAAAGTCTCATTTAAGCTAGCAGCTCTGAGTCAATAGTGGAACAATGCTGGAGAAAAATTAACCGTTCTGCTACAGTTAATTGGTTATTTTATCTTTTATTTTTCATTAACCATTATTTGTTCATTTTACCTTAGATACGGTTGCTATAAATACACTCATAAAGCCCTAGGGCGTTATGAGCGGACGTTATGGATCATAACGCCCACTCATTGTACGAGGAGAAATGAAGCAAAAGCTTGAACCAAAATATTTATTTGGGAAAATTTTCATACTAGTACAAGCGACAACTCAACAAACAACAACAATTTTTGAATTTTCCGGAAAAATTATATGACCGGAAATCGTCGGATTTTTTTGGAACTTTAGAAAAGAAAACTTGACCACTAGTACTTGGAAGTTCTTTCATAAGAGAACCGCTAGGAAATTCATGAGAATCTGTAACCGAATTTACTCCCACTGTTGACACTTTGTTTTTAGAGAAAATGCTCTGTTCTATGTAACCAGGCGCTACAAATACACTCTTCCATTTTCCGTGCATTTTTAAAGTTTCATACGATGCACCGGCCTCAGTTAAAAGAGCTGCCGAAGTCCTTCTAAACAATTTCCATTATATTCATTTGCATAATCCAATTTTAAGTATTTGGCAATTATCGAAGGCATACTTCCTATGCCAACAGGTTGGAAGGTGCACCGACCGTTTCGGTAAGTAAGGAAAAATCTGAGATCCTTTACTCCACTGGGTCTTAAGGATATATATTTTCTGACCAGTCTTAAAGCTTAAGTCTTAATACTGAATCCTTTTGACATACCGGTTTTAGTTTAGGGTA